ATTAACACAAATGCTTTTCATTAAAACTCAATCAACACTACAGCAAGGCTACCAACTGAGATTAGGATTTGACTGATTGGAGAATGTCACCAGCTTTCAAGACTGAGAACTGAAAACAAGTACAGAGAAAGACTCAATAAAAACAGTCTATACAGAACTCTCATAATCTTAAACACATGTTCATGAGTAGAAGTTACATGCACACGATTGTTTTTTAAAAGAAAAATTACTGATACCAATAGAGACAGAACTTGGAATGAAAGGCACATATTTGTATAGAACAGGAATAGTCAACATGGTGCCAATGTACCTACAGGCTTCTTTAAAGCTCCCTGGCTCACCTGATTGCAGCCTTTAAAAAAGTACAGGTAGTCCTCGCTTAACGACCATTCATTCAGTGATCGTTCAAAGTTATGATGACACTGAAAAAAGTAACCTATGACCTGTCCTCACACTTACGACCATCACAGCACCCCAGCAGTCATGTGATTGTAATCCGGGCGCTTGGCAACCAGCTTGCACTTATCTGGGGTCACATGATCACCATCTGCGACCCTTTAGCTGGCTTCCAGCAAGCAAAATCAATGGGGAACCATGTGATTCACTTAATGACTGTGTGATTCGCTTAATGACCACGTGATTCACTTAACAATCACGATTCGCTTAACAACTGCCAAAAAAATGTAAAATAATGACCAACCCGCTTAACAAAAAAAAATTTCCAGTTCCTATTGTGGCTGTTAAGCGAGGACTACCTATATATATTTTTAATTAAACAATAATTATATGGGAAAGAACATGCTGCAAATCATCACCTTTACTTTCCATAATGATGTGTGGGCTTCACAAAGGCAGCACAAACCATCTTAGCAAATAAAATTAAAATATGGGTAGCTCTGCCTAGAGCTTTGGGGGGAAGGGTGTCCACCTGCTCTTAAAAAGACAAAAGGGAAGGGGAGAGGGAATGAGAGGGAATAGCAGGAACCAACCTCACCTATTTGCCTATTAAATAAGTATTTGGGGACTGTAAAAGGGCTGTTGTGATGGATGTGGCCAAACAGGCAAGTGTAGTAATCCAACAGAAGAGAACATATGTAGCTCAGGGTTAGTTCTTAGTGTTCTCTGGTTATTTTGGGGTTGTTTCGGGGAACACATCCCCTCCAGCAGCCAACACTCAGAAAAGCAGGGATCAACACCAAACAAACCATCAAGCAGAGGACAATACTCTAATCAAGGAACGACCAAGGAGGAAACCACACCCCCACCCAAACTGGCAGGGGAAGCTACTATACTTAAGCAGGCAGCAAACCCCATATTCACTCGCAGTAATGATGTTACCTAGCTGGGTAATGAAACGTCCGTAAGCAAACATCCAAACTCAGAGAGCACCAAGAACTCCATAGTGTATTAATCCCCTGGTGAGGGTGACTGGCCTAAAAAGTTCACATAGCTCTGGGGCAGAAGTTGTAATGCCACACCTAGGTTGTCCACCCTCATTGTTCTGTTGTTATGTACATTTCCAGATGGCCGCTACACAGTTGGACATTAAAGATGGTATAATAATTGCTTAGGAAAAGGTTTGGGAAGATTAGGTCTTGGCACGAAACACCCAGCAGCATCTAAACAAAACTCTGATAGAATCAGAGGTAACAGAGTCAAATGACAGGAGAGGCAATTTCAGTGGAAGATTACGAAGAACTGATGAAACCAACTGCTCATAATCGGAAAAATCAGCCTTGGAATTTGGACTGTCTTTCAATGTACGGTTTTTAAGAAGAGGTTCAACAGACATCTAGCACAACCGACGCAACCAATGGCAATCATCTTCTGAATCTACATACAAAGCCTTAATCCTAAAGCCCCTTGGAAAAACTCAGCGTGAGAAACCACAAATAATTTCTAGGACTGTTGCTTCTTCTGAACAAGTCAGGTATGAATAGGTTAGTCATAACCACTTGTCATCTTCATTAGCTCCCTTTTCATTTCTCCTATAAATAAATGAAAAAAAGGCAAAGCAAAACACATAAATCATCTGATGAGGTTATTCTATTGGGGGTCACGAGTGAATTGCTCCTTTTATAATACCGAGCTCCAATGATTACTTTTCTTGCTTTCATGATCGCCGGCTTCAAGCAGAAAAAAAAAAAATAATAATGTGAAAAAAACATAGCCGTTGGGCAGATTTATTTACCATGAATGATTCACACATAGTATGCATGACTGCTGGCATCACCTCTCCCAGAAACTGGCAACGTTACAGGGAGCAATTTCTCCGCCCACCCCCAAGCATGAACTTAACTTGAAGAGTTTCTGCATTATAGTAAGCAGTACAAATGTGCTTTTCTTTTAACATTAAGCATGAATTATATATTGACCAAACACCTTTCATGTGGCCAAAGCAAGGAAAGTCCAACTTCACATTTATTTTCTGACTTTCCATGTCTCTTTCAGGGACAAAACCCAAGTTGTACTAGAAGCAAAGGTTTGCTGAGCCTATACTGTCACTAAAAGTGTGAATCTGAAGTTGTATTTTAAACTTTGCCTAAACTATAAGCTCCCTAGGTGGTCTAAGATAAGGTCTCCTCTTTTAGTTTCAGCCATTCAGCCATTACTTACCCTATAGAAAATAGAGTAAGCAGCGTCTACATATTTTATCCTACGTTTCACCTAAGGAATTTAGGGCTGTATATATAATTTCAACTTCCCTATCCCTTTTATCCCCACAACAATTTTGTGAGATAAGTTAGGGTTGACAGCAATTAATCCCAAGTTATAAATTGCATGGATGACTGGAGATTTGAAATGTGAACTCTATGTCCAATCTTTTATCCATATAGAATTCACTGGGTGAGCTCACACATTGCTTCAAACCATAGCTTGTTAAATTAAGTCAATTTGGCTGGGTTCATGTATCTTGCTACATCACAAACCAGAGGTAAACAACTTCTGTTGAGCAAAGGGCTGTCTTGCTTCCAAATGTGAGTAGGACCACTTTAAATTCCCCTCCCTTATTTTATTCTATATTAATTTGTGGGCTTTTTGTTAATCATAGATTCTCTCACACACACACAGACACACACACACGAAGAGAGAGCAATAAATTTCAACCTTTTTCTTCATCGGTAGAGGGTACATTTTCAGACAGAGGCTGGATAGTCATCTATCAGGGATGGTGTAGTGAATCCTACAATGTGCAGGGAGTTGAACTTGATGGCCTCTTATGTCCCTTCCCACCACTATGATTCTATGATTCAACAACAATGGTACCAGGACTCTTTTTCAGTATGATAGCTCTTTCAACTGAAGAAGAAAAAACATGTTGCAGTCTTTCCCTTTTTTAAATAGATGGAACAGCAAGTGGAAGAGGGAAATCACTAGACTAGGGGACTAGTGGTCCTACCCACATTGCAGGCCCTTTTATGTATTTTTTTGGGGGGGGGCTTTAGGCGGGTTTGAAGGAGTGAAATGAGAATCAAGTATCAATATCAATTTGATACCAAATACCTAATTCTGATAAGAGGAAGGAAGGAAG